TGATTAACGTTCCCAATGGCGGGCCCAATCAAATACCATCAAAATGATGATCAACTTCTTCCAATCGTCCGATACGGTCGCTAGACCTCTACTGAACGCCGATAAACGAGACTGCATATAACCTTGTATGAGGACCCACGCACTGGATCACAAAATGGCGGGGATATCGTCTGCTCCATCGAAACGGTATGGAATGGATAATAAATAACCGACCCGGAATTCATTGCCCCGGATCTCTCTGACTTTCTTCCTGACACGACACGGAATGGCTCTCGTGCGAACTCGAAGCACTGACGTCTCTCCCTCTCTTCCTCTTCTTCTTCAGCTAACCTTTGCTTTGTTGTTCGTCTTTTGTGCCGATAAAGGATGGTGCATCCGGGTTCCAGATCAGGTCCCAAATACGGCCGACCGCCCTCTGAAAACTGCGGTTTTTGCTCTCGGTTGCTTTTGGAGATCGGAGGCGGTTTTCGGTTGCTTAAATGGTGTCGTCCGCACCACTGTCGGCTATGCAGGCGGATCCAAGGTCAACCCGGAGTACAGAAGCTTGGGCGACCACGCCGAAGCTGTGCAGGTCCGGTTTCCGTTCCTTAGGTGCCCCTTATTTGAAATTATTTTGATTGTTTTAGAATTGAATCGTTTGATTTTTAAAATGGAGGGCAATTTTTGTTGGTTGCTCACTCAGATAATGTAGAGATCCCTCTATCCCTTTCTTTGATTTTGATTTTTGTCCTATACGTCCTCAGAGTGTTACGCTTGTTTAGGACTTTTTTTTTTTTTTTTTGGATTTTCATGGGGAGGGATATCGTTCTGTTCTTGAGGCCTGGAAATATTTTGCGTTGGGTTTGCGGATTCAGATTACTTACATTACATATGTGCTTGTAGAATAGAAATGCAAGTTGGGTAAAGACCCAAAAAGGGTATTAAGAGGAAGATATGTGATAAATTTGGAGTGAAATTTGTTCTTTTTCTTCTTGGTTTGCCATATTAAGTACATACATTGCAGTAAGTAGATGGTAGAGAAGTATCAAATTGTATCAAAGGTTGTGTTGCTTGCAATTTTTATCTGAAATTTCTAGAGACTAGAAACAATTTAGTTGGTGGGTTTTTTGAGACAAAGATTTCGAAGAAGATTGAGGCTAAGTTCGGTGCCAAGATTGCCACTAAATTGAGAGGCAAAAACCCTTTTGTTCTTGTAATGGTGATAGCTTGGTCTGCTTTAATTTGCAAAGTTTTATTCCATTGGAATCCAAGGATTCAGTTTGTGACAGAAGCCAAAAGTAGAGAGAGAAGGGGGGAGCTCAGCATGAAATTTTGTGTCTTGCATGCCGGAGTGAAAGTAATTGGAGAGAAATAACTAAAAGTCAAGTTATTACACACAATCTCATATGTTTAGGAAGACAAACATAAAATTATCTAATGAATTCTTTAGGCTGTACTTTATATGGATTTTATTTACCTTTAAGGAGCTAAAAGTAATAGAAGAGAAATAACTAAAACACAATATGTTACAGTCTTATAAATTTAGAAACATGGACAAAGATTTTCTTATTATGAATTATTTGGCCTGCACTTTTTATGGATTTTATTTACAATTTGTTTATTGCGAAATATGGTTTCAATATGCTGAGCAGGTTGAGTATGACCCAACGGTGATTACTTTCAAGCAACTCTTGGACGTTTTTTGGTCTAGTCATGATCCGAGGCAAGTTTTTGGCCAGGGTCCTGATGTGGGTAACCAGTACAGGTATCATCATGACTGATGACCACCAAGGGTAAACTTCAATGTCATATCAGATTCTTAATTGTGAACCTTTATATCTTAACAGGTCTATTATTTTTACAAATGGAACTGAAGAGTCCAGATTAGCTTCAGTTAGCAAAGAAAGAGAGCAAACAAAGTCAAGGAGTAGCATTGTGACCACTCAAATTCGACAACTTGGGACTTTTTATCCTGCAGAACCTGAACATCAGGTTTAGCAATTGTTTTTACCCCTTCTAATTCATGAACTGCTTAAGGTTGTGAGTTATATAAAAATTCTGGGTATAGGGCACATACTTTGCTAAATTACTAATTGTTTTTAGTGCTGATGGCTGATTTTCTGGAAGCTATTTTTATTGAGAGACTCAAGAAGGATATCTCCTGTGGGCATACAGTCGTAATGGACTTACTGGATTCTGAAAAACACAAAGCACTAGAGCAGAGCTCCGTGGTTAACATTGAAATTTGGACTAAATATCTACTAGTATCAGCATTATGAACTTCTGTCTGTTTAAAGAATGGCTAAAAATGGCTATATTCTTTCTATTCGTCTATAAATACCAAATATATTTGAGTTAGCTTAGAAGCCATGCATTTAGCATCTCATTTTCAAAGGTAAAGTGGACTAGTTTGTGATGTAATCTCTTGCTGTCTTAATTGAAAGGTTTGTCACTAGAGTTGCCCTAGTTTTCCTAGACTCTACTGAAGTTTTCTTTTCCATTTCTTGTTATGATGGCTAAGGTTTTTGTTTCTTGAACCAATATAATCTACAAGTTGAGGTTTGAGCAAATTTCCTTTTGATTACCTATATATCTGATCTTTGCGTGAACTTTGATATTGGAAACACATTTTATATTGCTTTGTTATTAATCATATTTAGATACCAGGACTAATTGATTGCTAAGCCAAATAAGTTGCTGATACCATTTTCAATGTGCAGAAATTTGAACTCAAACGCCATCCTTTACTTCTTCAGCTGATAGGGAACTTGCCCGAAGAGGAGCTTGAGAGGTCAAGTCTGGCATCAAAATTAAATGGATTTGCAGCAGAGCTTTGCCCACTGAGAATTCAAAAGCAGATTGATCTAAAGATCAACGAAATTATGAAAAAGGCTTGGCCTGCTTTAAAAGACATATAGTTGGCCTTTGGATTAACTTCACATCGATGTGCTTCGGCTGAAAATCTCCCAACTTGAGCCTTTAGGCACCATTAAAGGGAAGTCTGCTTATATTTTGTAGGTTTTTCAGTACTAAATGACCACGGCATACAATGATTGTTTGATGTTGAGCCTGGGAAATGTAATACATTGTAACATAATTCATTGCTAAATTTCCAATTTGATTCATCTCTTCAATTCTATCTCCCATGAATCTTTAGATAATGAAATTGGATTCAAGGCAGAGTTTCCTCAACATAATGAGGCTTTTCCCATGGACCCAATTTCATAACCAACACAAATTAATTACTTCATGTTTACTAATTAAATTTTTATTAAAAATGACTTTATTCCATTTTTAAAGCACAATAAATTGATTGGGATTTTCCACATGCTGTTTCAACAAAAGAGTTGCTGTTTTACATTTTTAATTGTAAAACAAAATCCTTGAAATGGGACTTTTCCCTTATTTAAGGTCCATATTCTGTAATTTAATACTA